GGCTGCACCACCCCGGCTGCGGGCGGGGACGCGCGCGGTGTCGCCTGCCAGGGGTCCTCGGGCGGGTCCTGGGCGGTTGGCTGGGGAGCGCGCGGCGTGGAGCCCGGGACTGGGGTCTTCAGGTGGGCACCCGGCAGCGGATCCCGGGGCCACCGTCCCTCTCCAGGTTTCCTCCCCAAGAGACCGCGGCTCCTTGCGCCCTGCGGGGAGGGGGCGCCGCTCGGGAACTCAGGCCCGGCCTCACCCTTCTACCTCCGTGGCGCCCCCTCCCCTCCAGCTCCCTCCGGCATCCCGAGCGCGAGGAGCCTCTGCCCCGGCTCCCCGGGACTCTGGGCGCACGGGGCGCGCACCTGGCACCCCGACCTCATCCTCTTCCCTTGCGCGCGCGGGGGGCTCCGCGGGGATCCCGCGGGACTGGCAGCCGCCCCACGGCTCCGCACGGCCGGGAGCCCCCCTTGGGAACCTGGGGGAGGGGTGGTGACGTCATTCGGGGGCGGGGCAGCTAGATCCAGGTTGCAGGGGGCTGGGGGCGCTCCGGGAGGGGACCCCCGCCCGCGCCCGGCTTGCTGCGCCCTCGCCCTGGGTGCGTGGCTTTGGCCAAGTTCGCCGCTCTTTGTGGGAATTTCCAAAATGTGGGATGTCCCCACCACCTCCTCTTCCTCAAAGCCGGTGCACTTTTCCCACCCCCCTCTCCCCCAAATGTGGGGAATACCCCCTCCTTGAGCTGCTGCCTTTCCAAAACTGTCAAATCGGGGAACCCCACTACCACCACCATAAACTAGTCTTTTTAAAGACACACCCCCCAGAATCCGAAATCTCCTTTTCACCCTTTGCCATCTAAGACCCTCCTCTGGCAGCCCCCTGCATCTGCAGCACTACGGAGCGCCCCGCTCCCTACAGCTCTTCCTCAAATTCAGCGACCCCCCCCCCGCCCCGCCATGAACCCCCTCTTCCTCACCCCTTCCGGCGGCTGCCTCCTGCCCTCCCTCTCCTGGCTCAGCCGGGATTCCCCTGTCACACCATCTCAGTCTAGGGGGGTCCCCAGTCTAAGCATCTCGTCCACCCCCCAAGAAAATCCTCAGCGTGGGCAGTGTAGCTGCAAAGGGGCGTCTGAGACGGCAGCGTCCAGGCTGAGCCAGGCCGGGCGCTGTGTGCTCCGGGAACCCAGACAAAGCCACGGGGTCCCCCAGGGTCCTGAGGATGAGGGACGCGTCCGCTCCCGGCCCCCTTCTGCGTCCACCCGGACTTGACTTCTTAGATTCCTGCTCTTTAACGTCCCCAACGCTGCTGTCCCTGGGGGGTGGCGGGTGGGACCGTTCGGGGTGCCCTGTCCCCCACGGTACCGCCTGCCGCTGCCCGCCCGCCTGCGTCTCCACTTGGGTGACACCAGCTGCCGCCGGAGCTTGGAGCTTTTATTAATGGCCGAGGGACTCAGCCATTTGCATAGCGCCCCTCCCCCCCTAGGGTCCCTTCCTTTGTGCCCCCTCCCCCTGCCAGTCTCGCTGCCTTCTGTCCCTCTCTTCTCTCTCCTCCCGTGCCAGCTGATACTTTGGCGACGGAAGGCAGGCAGCTGGGGCTGGGGGCGGCTGTCTCCCGCCCCCACTTCCCAGAGCCCACCGCCATAGACCCTGGGGCTCCAGCCCCTGCAGGGTCCCTGTCCTCTACAGTGTCCTGGGGTGTCCCTTGCTGCCTCCTTCCTTTCCTGCCCGGTCCCCTGGGCCTGGGGGGCACCTTCACTATGACAGTGCACTTCTGTGTGGTGCCAGCCTCCCCCCAGTCCCCTGAGGGCCACCCCCCGCCACCCCCGACGGCCCTGGGAGTTGGTATAATTGGGCTCAGGCACACGCACCGTCGCGGGAGACCGGCCTGCCTGGTGAGCTCATGTGCTTTTTGTGTTTTTGCCACCCTGGCCAGGACGATGACATCGGCCCCCAGGGGGTGACAGAGGCTGGCACTGTGAGTGGCCATCCCGCGGAGGAGATGCCGTCCCCAGAGGCGGCATCCTGGCTGGTACCTTGCTCCTGTGGGACGTGGGGGATGGGCACCTGGCGTGGCTGGGTGTGGCTGGGGCTGGTGCGGGGGTCCCTGTGCCCAGGGCCCCTCTGACCTTTGCGTGTGTGACTGCAGAGAAAGCGGACATTCACACCCCGCTTTGCTGCTGCCAGGACAGAATGAATTGGGCTTTGATCGCACGCCGCGTTCTTAACCCTTCTGGAGGAGGCGCGGAGGGCTGCATTTGGACGCCGCTTCCCAGGGCCTCCGGCCGCCTCGTGTCCCGGTTGGTGACACAAGGCTCTCCCCCAGGTCTGGGATGTTGCGGGTCTTGACAGCGTGCTGGGTCTCAGGTATTTAGTGGGGGCGTTACGGAATGAGGGACAGATCTGGAACTGTCACTGTGCACCTGGGTTCCTCTTTGGGTCCCGCGGAGCGCCGGCCTGGCCGGGGGCTCCGGACGCGGCCGGCAGGGGAGGCAGCGCTCTCTGCTCAGCTGCGTCTTGCTGGGAGGTGACTTCCTGCCTCCGGGGTCTGCACAGAGTGACGTTTCCCAGGAAGACCTGTGGCTTCGATGGTGACTCTGGGGACCGCGTGGCTGTCGTGACGGCCAGTGCGGTGGCCGGGGATGTGTGGCAGAGGTGGCGGCGTTCGGTGGCCTGGGCGTCACCTGTCTGCCCTTCTGGTGGCCCCGTGGCGCACGTGGGGGAAGGAGAGGGCGCTGAGCGAGTTCAGGGTGGGGGTGAGCCAGGAAGAGAACCCTAAAAATAAAGTCGGGTATTTATAAACCCAGCGGGCTTGGGGGATAATTGACGAAGCTAAGTGTTTTGGACGGAGAGCGGTTGCTGCTTCCCCCACCCCATTAGGCCGCGTTCCTGGCGTGGACCGGAGCCAGGAAGACTCCGGGATGCGGCATGGGGTTGGGGGCGCAGTGCCAGCTTGGGTCCTTTCTTGGGGTCCCCCGTGGGCCGTGACTGGGCGTTGCGGGGCTTCCCGTGCTCCCAGAATCGCAGACAGCAGCACACCCTGTCCTTTCGCCCTTCCTTGTCCTTCCTGTGACAAAGGCAGGGGTGGAGGGTCGGAAGGGTCCCGAGGGCGAGCTGAAGGCAGGACCCGCCCCGGGCAGGAACAAAGGCGCGTCTGGGGCCCAGGTTGGGCTCGAGGGAGCCTGGGCGCTGCAGGCTGCGCGGCTGAGCGGGAAGGGCAGGGGTTGAGGCGGCGGTTGCGGGTCATTCTGTCACCAGGGGGCACTTCGCAGTCCGGAATTAGGGACGGGACCTCCGGGAGAGGATGCGGACAGGACGGGTGTGGGAGCCACTTCACCTTGCTCTGAAAACCACGGCCCAGAGAGGCCAGGTCCTGGTGGCAGCACACGGTGCGGCTGGTGACGTGCGGTGTCCCTGACCCTCCAGGCTCAAGGGTGTTGAGTGTCGTATGTGGCTGTCTGTTCCTTTCCTCCACTCCTCTTGTTCTCTGCAGTACTAGAATCGAACCCAGGGCCTTCGCACTGAGCTGCATCCCCAGCCACCGTTTTTGTTTTGCCACAGGGTCCCACTAAGTCACCAGGTTGCCCCGACCCTCCTGTCTCAGCCTCCCTTGGCACTGGAGTACCTGGCGTGCAGCGCCACGCCCAGCCTCCCTTTTCTTTAAGAGAATAAAAGACACTCCAGACAATAATCTCCGGTACAGAGGGGCTGGGGGTGTAGCTCAGAGCGTTTGCCTGGCACCCGCAGGGTTCATTCCCAGCACCGTCAAAAAAGAAAAAGAGGAGGAAAAAAAAAAAGCCCGTCGCACGGCTTCTGTCTGTCTCTGGCTGATATTTCAGAGGTGCTGGGTGGGGGGGCTTGCGTGGGGGATTTAAAAAAATCAATTGGCTTACGCGTGTGCAAAGGCGAAAATTAACGAGCGGATACCGGTGACTCACGGCCAGGCCCTGACTTTCAGATCACTTTATTTTTGTCTTTCTCTCCTTTTTTTTCTTTCCTCTCCTCTCTCACCCCTCCTCCTCCTCCGTGTGCTGCCGCCCCTCCTCCCCAGGCTGGACCTGCGGTCACTGCTATTCTGGGGTGCCGTGGAATCTCCCCTCCCCTCCCCCAGGCCCAGGAGCCCCAGGATTCCAGGCCCTGAAAAGAAACCCGGATCCCACCCGGCTGGGGCCCGGAGCGGGGGTGTCTGGGTCACTCAGACGCCTTGCCCTGCGCCTTCTCCGGGACTGACTGCATCCCCGCCGGCCCTTTTTGAAAGGGTGGATTTTGCCCATCATAGGCCTTCTGCTACCTGGGGGGCCCCTGCTGCTTTTGAGTTTTATTTTTATCTTGTTTTATTTTATTTTTATCTTTGTTATTCGCCCGTTGTAGGAAAACCAGGCGTTTTCTTTTTCTTTTTCTTTTTTATTTTTTTGAGACAGGGTCTTGGTGTGTAGTTCACAATGGCCTTGACCTCACTTTTAGCCCAGCCTGGACTTAACTTGTGGTGATCCCCCTGCCTCAGCCTCTTGAGTGCTGGAATGACAGGTGAGCACCATCACCCCACCCTTTGTTGGCCTGTTTCTCTCCTTCCTTCCTGTCTCCCTTCGTGACCTCACCTCCGTCCCTCGTCTGCAGAGCAGTGACTTTGCTGGAAAATGAGGTAACCCTCTGGAGTCCCACACAGAGCTGGCCACCACGGCCTGTGCTGTGCAGGCTGGGCCAGGTTGCTTGACCTCTCTGGGCTCTCTTTGCTCCAAACTAACTGCACAGCAGTCAAGCCTGTGAGCCCGGATCACAAATGCAAGTCCTGCGCCTCCCGTCATCTCTCTGTTCATCTCTGTCCCCTGCGGCCGCCTGCGTCCGTCCCAGGTGCCCTGGTTGGTGCTGGGGGCCTAGCAGGCCCAGTAGCAGCTGGCACAAGGGCGGGAAGGTGCCGTGTGGTGGGGGCTGTCGTGCGGGTAATTGAGTGTTGGTGGAAAAGCAGGGGTTCTGGGGAAGGGGCGGCTGCAGTCTGCATGTGTGTAATTTAATGTCTCATATAATTAACCCCTGTGATTAGCAAATGAGGGGGTGGGGGACGGGAATACCGGCTCTGACTTGGTGTCTGCACCCCGCATCAGGAGCTCGGCAGAGTAAGCCAATCCACAGCCTCCCCAGCCCCCTGACCTTCTTAGATTTGGGGCCATTGGGGCCTCCTTGTTGGGGAGGGGAAACTGAGGCACAGAGTGAGATCTACACTGGCCTGAATCACATACCCTATAAGTGAAAGCACAGGGAATCTATTCAAGCATTTTGGTTGCCTGAGTTAATTCTTTCTTTCTTTCTTTTCTCTCTCTCTCTCTCTCTGTCTCTTTCTGTACTGGGGATTGAACCCAGGGCCTTCACACCAAGCTTCACCCACAGGGTCTCTCTTAAATTGCCCAAGCAGGGCTCATCCATGTGACCCTCCTGCCTCAGCCTCCCAGACCCTGAGTGTCGCTTTTTGATCTGCTGATCAGCAGCAGCACCTTCCCAGCAGCGG